AAACAACACGTCGCTGGCTGCATCACTTCAAATTGCCTGGCCTCTTTGACAGCCGCTTAGGCATGGACATGCCCCAATCCTTGGAAAGGAATGAACCCTTGAGAATGTTTGGGAAAGTCTACAATCTGACACGCAGGTTTGCTGTGCTGCCTAGCCTGTTTATCCGCTGCTGAGGCGCGGACAGATCTGAACCTTCAACAAGGAACCAGCCTCGCACATGGAACTCTCCCGCAATTGAGGGCTAGTGCAAGGTAAAGCAACAATAGAAGACCAGCATTTGTGAGAACTGTTATCCTGCTTCTAGTAAAAAATGATCAGCATCTCATGGCATCAAAAGCAGTCCAAGAACAAGATGAGGAGAAACATGTCATACACTCAGAATGTGAGGTCCGGGCGTCGCAGAACGTGGGTGTTCTCAGGCCTCAGCTTAGCTTTGTGAGGTGGATGCACACACACAGCCGGCTCTGGCACGCAGACTACATGCCAAGATTTGCAGGGCATCGCGACGCAGCATTTTTCATGAGTGCAAGAGCAACCCGCAAGATCTGGGAAGCAAGGCCCGGCCATTCACCCAGGGGGATTCCAAGTGGATTCTTAAGCTACACGGCCCGGACTTGCTTCTTCTTTTCAGCGCCTTTTGCGCTATCCCCAGCACTGCGCTCCTCNNCCTCGCGCGGAAGAGGCACATCGGTCGAGCCCGGCTCCTTGGATGCTTTCTTGGCCTGGCCGGAGCATGGCATCTGCAAAAGCTCTCGCCTACTATTCAAGCCACATGTGAAGGTTGCAGTAGCCCGCCTTCTTGTTCTTGTCATCCGAGGGCGCTTTGCTTCCCTCTCTCTTCAAGTGAGGTCTGGCATCGGCCACCTGTCAGTCAGAGTTGAGGGTTTGAATCTATGGCCCAGAGAGCTGTTGCTAGCAGGAGGCGGAATGTCTTGTTTTTTCCTGAAAAGGACAATTCGGCTAGATTTCACATCAGGCGGAATTGCCTCTTTTTCCTGAAAAACAGACAATTTGGCTGACCCGCTTTAACCCCCACACCCGCAAGCCTCGGGATACTTCTCAGCAACTCTCCGCATCTGAGATGTAGGTGATAACTCGCGATCAGACTTCGTCTTCTCCTCACCTTTTTTCGACGACGAAGACATGTCTTTGGGCTTCGGGGCCATCTGTTGCTTGCCCGTCTGCTCAAGGTTGCCCTTGTCCTTCGCCTCGATTTTGGCTTTGCTTGCAGCCTTCACGTCATCAGCGGAAATCTTGCCCTTCGCCAAGAGATCCTGCACAATGACAAATGACAAAGGTTCACAATGTACAAGCCAACCCACAATCACAAAGCAACTCTATCCACCAAAAGAATCCGAAAGTCCTGAAGGTCTCGAAGCTTCGCATCCTTCCATTCGGAGGCAGACTTCTTCCAAAATTCCACGGACTTCTGCAACCTGGAGATTTCCTTGTCATACTCATCCTGCTTCTCATTCTGCTGTTTTTGGAAGACAGCCGCCTGAGACTCCAAGGCACCTTGCTTGTCCTTCAAAGCAATGTCCTCAAGGAAAAGCTTCTGCGCAGCGAGCCGCTCATCAACGTGACAGATCCACCCATCGGCTACAGCCAACCTGAAAGCCTCAAAATTCTCGGCCTCTCGTTTCTCTATATCCACCTTCTTCTGCAGACGCCAGCTGCGCCTCATGCAATTCCTTCGCCGTGGCCTTGGCCTCAAGCATCTTCTGGTTGAATTCTCTTCTTAACTGTGTAAAATTGCAGCGACTACCGCTCTTCTGATGCCTGGAAATCAATTCCTCCACATCTTTGTCAATCTCCTTCTTTGGTTGATGGAATGCAGGGCCCTTGGTTCGAGGACCTGCCGCAGGATGAGGTGCTCCAGGCGGACCAGGTGGTCCAGGTGGCCCAGGAATTCCGACTCCAGGAAAAGGGAAAGGAGCTGCATCAGGCTGCTGAGGCGGAATTCCAGGAGGTGGAGGTAGAGGAGGCGGTGGAGGCGGTGGAGGCGGTGGCGTAGCCTCTGTGCTTGCAGAAGCCGGCCCCCCTTTCTCTGTCTCTTCCACTGGCGAAAAGTAATCTTGCCCGTGCTGCCCACTACTGCCGGACCAGCAATACTTTCCCAGCTTGTCACTCCAGCACCAGCCATCCCACGAATGTTGCCCTGAACGGCCTGCCATGTTGAGCAATCTCAGAAAAC